CCCAGGGTCCCGGGATCGAGTCCCACATCGGGCTCCCTGCTCTGCGGGGAGCCTGCTTCTCCCTCTGCCTCTCTCTCTCTCTCTCTCTGTCTGTCATGAGTAAATAAATAAAATCTTTAAAAAAAAAAGTTTAAAAAAAAATATATATATATATACCTATAAATCAGATAAATGAAATGGACCAATTCCATGAAAGACAACAAACTGCAAAAACACCCACAAGGAAACATAGAATACCTGATCTACTAAAGAAATTGATCAATGATTCACCTTCCAAAAAAGAAAGCACAAGGCCCAAATGGTTTAATTAGCGACTTCTACCAAACACTGAAGGAAGAAATAAGACCAAATCTCTACAATCTCCAGAAAAGAGAAGCAGAGTAAACACTTCCCAACTCATTCTATGAGGCCAGCATTACCCTAATTCTAAAACCAGATAAAGATATTGCAAGTAACCAGACCAATATCTCTCATGAACATAGACACAAAAATCCTCAATAAATTATCAGGAAATTGAATCTAACAATGTATAGAAAGAATTATATCCTTTCAAAAGTGTGAGAATTTCATATTTAATTTAGTATTTTACTCCATAGGTTGATCAAAGTTGAAATGTAAGAAAGGAGTCATATAAGAAAGCAAGTCTACAGTAACAACTAAAAAGTTTAGCTAATTATATATCTATCTAAAGGACCAAATATTATATGGTTCTGGTCTTAAATTCATGTATATACGTATTCATTAATTCTGCTAACACTAGTACTAATACTAGACTACTTAGGACCTGCTCTGAGTTAGACACATGTAGTTCTTTTATACATGCCTAGACTACAAATATCTCCTCAAAACCTAATTTATGCTTATTTTGGGTATATGAATAAGAATTAAAACATGATTTTTTAAAGATGAAATAACATATATTTATGATTAATTATCAGAGATTCTAACAAATAGCTATTTGGGTTTGGGTTGGGTAGAAGAATTCTCTACAGTGCTGCCTTAATTAGTATTACCTTAATTATTTCAATGAGGATAAAGCAGGGGAGACATATAACATAACCCAGGGAACTATTTGAGCTCAGATGTGAAGAAGATAAGCATATATCACAAAGGAAGTGAGATAAGAATAATACAAAAGACTGATGGTTACCAGAGGAGAGGTGGGTGGGGAGATGGGTGGTGATGGGGATTAAGCAATGCACTTGTGATGAGCACCCAGTGTTGTACGAAAGTGTTGAAATCACTATATTGTACACCTGAAACTAGTATTACATTATATGTTAAGTATCTGGAATTTAAATAAAACTTTTTAAAAAAGAATAATATGAAAGAACAATATGAATTTTTAAAAATAATGTCAGAAAAATTGAAAGCCCAAACTAAACTGAGATTATTGGGAAAGAAAAAAACTGTGAAGCAACCAAATATTTTTAGCTACTGAGCAGAAAAATTAAAAGGAAGAATTAGGTCTCTTGCAAGATAATTAATATAATTCTGACAGATGAGAATGTGGAGGGAGAATGACATCATTTCTATATTGTTTCCATCTTTCTATTAAAAAGAATAATCTTCAGAAACTAGAAGGAATAGTATAAACATAGACAAGACAGCTGAAGTCCAAAATATGCAGAAATAACAGGAGAGTACCTATTGCATTAAAATAATCCAGCTCTTCTGGTCCAGATAAATCACAGCTTAGGGTACTGCAAGAACTAAAGGATGGCTTGCTAAACTACTAGTAGTAATCTTCAGAAACAATGAGAGCCGATATGTACATACATATAAAGATCTCTAATGCAAGTCATCAAGTGAAACAAGAGTGAATATTTATTGCATGATCTCATATATATATAAAAGTAACATATATATTCATCTATATTAATTACAAAATTAAAAGATATACATCAATTATTCGCTACTGGTGTTATTTTTAAAATGAAAAATGAAAGCAAAACCAATAAATAACGATATATCCATATTATAGAAAATACGAAGTGTAAAAAATGGAGGTGGGAAGAAATGTTCAATTAGACAAATGGTAAGATCCCTTTGCTTCTAAGATTACACAAAAACACACACACGTAACTAATTGGTGGGCCCCCGTACAAAATGAAAATATGTGCTCCATGCTCAAAAATTATTAAGAATTTTAATACTCCTTGGGCGCCTGGGTGGCTCAGTTGGTTAAGCGACTGCCTTCGGCTCAGGTCATGATCCTGGAGTCCCGGGATCGAGTCCCACATCAGGCTCCCTGCTCGGCAGGGAGTCTGCTTCTCCCTCTGACCCTCCTCCCTCTCATGCTCTCTGTCTCTCATTCTCTCTGTCTCAAATAAATAAATAAAATCTTAAAAAAAAAAAAAAGAATTTTAATACTCCAACAGTTGATCATTAAACCAAGTGCAAAACTCTTCTAAGCATGGAGCCCCATACAACTGTGCAGGTTACATATTCATGAAGCTGTTCCTGTATACAAACACACACACACACACACACGCACATACACCATCTACATCTACATACATATACACAAATACATATATATACATATGTATTTTTTCTTGAATGCAAGGATTATATCTTTAGAGAAGATGATGCATGCTACAAACGTGTGGTCCCATTCTTGAGTGCCAGGATGCCCTGTGATCCAATCTCTCTGTACTCCTTCCTTGCCCACTAGCCTGAGTGCATCATCTCTCTGTCTTCTTATGAGGAAACATCTTCCTACTGCCTGTAATCACCTTTTGAGAGTTCTAGCTCCTCCATGTAGTTCTCTTTATGTTTTAATAGGCCACATCAGAAGCAATGATTAAAAAAACACTCTATGTTAATTAATGGTGTGAAATTATATGTGAGGAGTTTGTCATAAGGTTGATATCAAGACCTATAAATTTGTTACTTTGCTCCTGCATTTTCCCAAGGTAACATTGATACTCACAAGAAATAAAAACTTTTTAAATACTTAATAGGTTATAACTATAATATAATGTCAGCCAGCGGAGTATGAATGAGTCCTTGGGCTTCTTCATAGCTTCTGAATCATGTTAAGTGGGATAAATAGATAACAGGTAGATGTTAGATGATAGATAGGTAGATAGATAGATAGATAGATAGATAACCAAGCATAGTAGCAGTAGAGAATATTGAAATAGGACACGATGCAAAGATTGTCCAAGTCAAACAAATTTTGTTACAAATGATTCCCAACCACCAGAGTTGGAATGGACCTAAATCTTAAAATAAAACAAAACATTGTTTATTAAATAATTATTCTGTACTAATCACTGTATATGTATTTCTTATTTAATCTTCCCAGTAATCCTGAGTTGATTTCTATTTTTTTTATTTTACAGATGACTAGGGAATAAAATTTTATATTTTGTCAGTATCAAATAGACTCCAAATGTTGGATCTGATTTGTTTTTTAGAGAATGTAACAATACTGGCTATATTATACTACCTCCCAGGCCTTAAATATTATCTGATACATTTATGTTTTTGATGTTGAATTCTTTAGCATTCAGCCTAGTGGTTTTCCAGCCTATCCTTGCATTCCCCAATCGGGAACTTCTCTCAAACAATCTACTCTAGGTTCAGACAGCAAATATTTCTTTATATTGGGCCCATCTCTCTTCCTTGTAACATCAACTTATTAGCTCTAGCATGGCCATTCATGAGACTATGTCTGATTTCTTTTCTACATCATACCCTTTCAAATATCTGATGAATAATTTGAAGCTAACTATCTTTGCTCAAGAATCTTCTCTTCTCTAGGCTAATATTCCCAGTTCCTTCAGATGAAACTCACAGAAATCTGTTTTGAGTTTTCTCATCCAAGGACTATTCCTCTTTGAATATAGTATAATTTGTTTGTGTTTCCCAGATTCTCAGAGCTGAATGCAACACACCAGGATTGTTTCAATCAGCTCCCAGAGCAGGACAGTCACTTCCCTCATTCAAACCATCATAGGTCTATTACCACACTCAATCATACATTAGCTTTCTCAGCAGCCACATCATACTGCCAGCTTTTATTGAAATCAAATCCACGAATCTTTGTCATACAAGTGCCAATAAGCCAGCCTATAGGAATGCAAGTGTGTGTGTACGTGTGTGTGAAAGAGACAGACAGACAGAAATGAGAAAGAGACCCAAGTCTTAAGTCTCAAATTTGCCTGTATTAAGTTTCATGTTAGATTTGCCCCTTCTTGGCACATGTTGCAGTTTTTGTCTTTGCTGATCTTAACACCATCATACATGGAATTTTCTTAACTCAAAATTATGATCAAAAGCAAATTTGGCAAGCATTCCTTTATGTCTTCATCTAAGTCTCTGACAAAAGAAAAAGATGGACTGGGTAAGATAGAGCCCTTTGGTTTGCCTCTAGAGACCAGACTCTAGATTAACATTTACTACAGTCCTATTTTTTGAACATACAACGAATAATGTATAAAAATACAAAGGTATGTAGCCCATAATTTTTCATCCTATCTAGGTTTGATTAGTGCCATGCATGAAAGATAAGCAGGAACTAGAGAAAGAAATTGTGGTTTTCTTACAGGGAAGTGCTCTATGTCAACACAGCTGATTTATGTGGGAGACAGGTTTTCAAGGCAGGACAGTAGAGAGCCCTCCTGCAGTTCCCTAGAAAAGCAGGTTTTCCTTCTTTGAAGTTGAACTGAAAATAAACTTGGGCTATCAGGGCAGATTTTCTTTGTTCTTCCTTAGCCTTGGACACAAAACAATAGAACTTTTCAGTGAACCCCCACTCTGTCCCTCCCACACATGTATAAAATACATGTTAATAATCACAGTTAAAGTAAAATTTATTTTTAGTGTATTCTAATTTTTCAAAATTTCTTCCCATTTATCAGTGTGGTATGACCAAGAAGCCACTGAACTAGGCAGAGAACTAGTTTTTTAACTGCCTATCAAGTGGTTATCTAGGATTCTGGGTTAATGTCACGGGATTTTGAAGTAGATGAATTAAAAACGTTACTTACCTATGCCTGTTTCATGGCTGGTTAACACCTCAACACTTCCTGTTGGAAGGGAAGATAAATCTTGGAGTCTACAAAAAGCCAGTGAGATGACACTCAGTATTCTACATTCTTACCGAGATATTTGGGAAGATAAAAGCTGTCTGGAAGAATTCAGAAAAAGCCATCATACAAATACAAATTGTCATCAATTTTAAATTCTTCCTCACAGCCTATAATTTCATGGTATATAATATTTTAATTTAATTTAATTTTATTAAGAGATCTACCCTCTCAACAACTATTTAAGTGCACAAAAACGTATGGCTGACTATAAGTACCATGTTGTTCGGCAGATCTCTACAACTTACTCACCTTGCTTAACTGAAACCTTACGCCCGTTGATTAGTAACTCCCTTTTTCTCCCTCCCTTAGCCTCTGGCAGTGGTCATTCCATTCTTTGATTCTATGAATTTGACTATTTTATATACATCATATGAGTAAAATCATGCAATCTTTGTCTTTCCGTGTCAGGCTTCTTTCAATTAGCATAATGTCCTCAACGTTCATCCATGTTGTTGCACATTGCAAAATTCCCTTCTTTGTCAGGGTGGAAAATAACCCATTTGGATGTAATAGTAATTCATTTTTAAGAGACTTTTATTCTTAGCCCACATTCTTTCCACAGAACTTGTCTTCGCCACACCATCCCACTAACCAACAATGAGGCTGTTTTCCAATCCTACGTGTGCATGTGCACCTGTGTAGCCTGCCTACTGCTCTCACTCCACTGTCTCGCCTTTCCCTGCAACGGGTGGTCAGCTTCTCAACCTTGGCTAGCCTAAGAAGGGCAATACGAAACCTCTCTATGCCCCCAGGACGACCAATGGCAGCACCAGATCCCACACGTGTGTGCCTAGCTGGGGAAAGGGGGGAGGAAGGCTTCTATGATTCCTCAGACCTTCTCAGTCCTCATTCTATTTCTGCATCTCCTGCTTTTCTTCTATTCCACTTCCATCAACTTTTCATTCTCACCCTTTTATCTCTTTTCACTCTCTTATTCCTTTTCTGTGCATTTTTTAAAAAAGATTTTATTCATTTATTTGACAGAGAGAGACACAGCGAGAGAGGGAACACAGCAGGGGGAGTGGGAGAGGGAGAAGCAGGCTTCCCGCTGAGCAGGGAGCCTGATGCGGGGCTGGATCCCAGGACCCCGGGATCATGACCTGAGCCGAAGGCAGACGCTTAACGACTGAGCCACCCAGGCGCCCCTTCTGTGCATTTTTTTAAAAAAATAAACTTGCCTCTCCTGTCTCTTCCTGTTTTTAACTTTCTTATTTCCCATCTCTTCTTCCTATCTGTATCTTCAGACAACTTTCTCCTTCAATCTGTATCATGCCCTCTATATTGTCTCTGGGCTCTCATGTTCATCCACTCTGATTCAATCACTGGATTTTTCTCTTCCTTCATCTTTGTCACTAGTCTTTGGTTTGAAAATGTCTTTTTTCTTTCATTCTTCTTATTTTATGCAGTTCACTTGTTCAGGGAAGAATCAGCCTCCAAACAACAAAATAAGTGAGTTTATTCTCCGATGAAAGGTCAGAAATTGATAGTACATTGAAAATGATGACAAAGCTATAAAAAATACACCACTACCTAGGGCTGCCGGGTTTAGGGGTGGGGGAGAAAGTATGTATATACACAGTTCAATTCGATTTTCAGTTTCAAATAAACAATAAATGACTCTTAGTATAAATAAGCCCCATCAATGTTGTTATACTAAATTTTTGTGTGTATCTGAAAGTCAAATTTACCTGGGTTTCCTGTATTTTCCCTGGCAAGCCAACCATTACTACATTTAGTCATATTATCAGCTAATAAATACTGGATCCAAACTGTATGTCTAAATAGTATACTAGACAATGTGAAAGCTATTACATGTGTACAAAATCAATCCCTGCTACAAAGAATGTAAAGGGTTAAGAAGTTAAAAATATAATAAAAAATTAGAAAGCAATGCAAAATAGCATATAATTAAATGTTTAACTGTTTCCAGTTATAAGTCTAGTACAAGTTCAAGTACTGGAATGGAGGATGTGATATGGGTTTAAGGGATGAAATACACTCTCCAAACAAACTAGAAAAAAAAGCATTCCCAGGTCTTCCCCATGTTTTCCTGCCTCTGCCTTCTGACACTATTCTTTTCCTCAAAAACAATCTTACCTAGACTTCAAGGTGCATTTAGTGCCATGTACTTCTTGGAGATCTTTCCTTCTTTAAACCCTCCATAGCACTTTCTACCTCCACACATCATCCATCATACTCTATGTTGTTTTCTGGCTAATTTTGGACATATCTCTTAGGGATTATCTGCTTCTTGAAGGAAAATGCTGCGTCTGTGTGGAGCAACTACTCCACAAACTGATGAAATGAATGAATGAATCCATCTTGGAACTATATCTGACTCTCCAACGATTGTTCACAGCTATCATGTTCACCACCTCTGGAATTCTTACAGGCAAAGTTGAATACTTTTTCTTCTGGGCACTGATAGCTCTCAACACTTTCAATATATGCAGAATGGGCTCCTACACTGCAGTTATTTGGACACATGTTAATTCCTTCTACTGGCCTGTGAGTTTCCTTCTACAGGCCTGTAAGATATGCCCCTTTGGTCTTTGTAACCCCAGTGCCTTTTCAGCAAGTACTAAAAAATGAGGTGGAAAAGACTCTCTAGGAGAAAAAAAATCAATCTTTTTCTGTTTTACAGTAAGTTTGTTCTTATATTGATTAAAATAAGTCATGTACTGTAAATTAATAAAAGCTATCTATATTATATAGAGAAAACCCTATTTATAGTAAAATAAATTGTATGTGGCACATACTGCATCATGAAACAGGCCAAATTCTTTTTAGATGCATATAATTTAACTTCCCAGTTATTATAAAATCTCCACTTGAGATGTGACCTCACTATAATTTGTTTTAATGTATACAGTAGATAAATATATTGCTTACTTTTTAAATAACTGTATTTTTATGGTAATATATTTACAAGAACACAGTCATTATTTATAAGGGTTTTGGTCTATTTGAAATTATTGTTTGTAAATATTTGTTCTTGTCTATAGCAAAAATTTTTCCATGATGCTCTAAGTCCTTTCTACAAGCTTTTGTTAGCTGTATTTGGAAGATCTCCAGGCAGCACAAATTACTAAGAAACAATACAGGACTTCAAAAGCATGTTTATTTGCACTATAATGTGGAATTCCCTATCACACATAGGTATTTTGAGGCCTTTACTCTTATTCAAACAATAGGAGATTCTCCTGTAAAAAGTCATAATAATTCACTATGATTTTCTTCTTTTGCTTCTAAAGACTTTTTAATACTCTACTTCTGGGGGTCAAAAAGAAAGGAGAACAACCTAGTCAGGTATGATTAACTCCTTGTGCAGTGCAGTGATGCTCAACCAGGCCTGCAGATTAGGATATGGAGATTTTTTAAAAGTCCCCATGCTGAGATCCTACCCCAGACCTGCTGAATCAGCATTCCCACAGCGGGGCTCTGGGCATGAATATTTTCAGAAGTTGTATGGTGAGTCTGGTATTCAGCCACCATTTGAAACTGCTATTATTCAAGGGGAATAATCTCCAGGAACTAGAAATATATTTTATTTTAGAAAATGATTAGAATTACAAAAAATACGGTTGACGTAATATACTTGCTTTTTACAGATTATATCTCTTCTTTTCAACGGAACTAATTATTCTGCATTTTGATTAGGCTTTTTCTTATTCATAGAAATAACTAAACAACTGACCTAATAGCACAGTTAATTATAATTATGACATCTCATCAGTTTGGCAACTGGTTATTTCTAACCAATTATTTTGATTATCTTTTAACAACCAAATATGATTGGCTATTCTGCAATTCAAACTATTTTCCAGGAGGTTTAAAGAAAAAAACACTTTTGTCTTATTGACTTGAAATTTATTAAAAGAAAATCATTACCATGATAAACAGTGACAATTAAATATTTATATGTAAAAAAAAAAAACCAGTATATGTTATTGATCTTCAAGTATTCCAAACCCTGTATCACAATTCAATCATGTTACACCATGTCTAATTCATGTATTTATGATATTTAGTATAAACTTCTATAGATCTATTTAATTCCCCCATTATTTCTTAAATACACCCTTAAAAAATAGATGATTTGCCTCCTTGCTAAACCAGATAAACAATCCAATGATCAACTATAATAAATTGAAATTAATCACATGAAAAAGTACACAGTAGAAGTACATAGTACTTTTTGCAATGGTCACAGAAAGCATTACTTTATGTAAATTTTCCTCTCTCAACTAAAACAAATTTACCCATCTTTACAACCACAGATTTTGCAAAATGTTAGGATGGACAAGAACAATAACTATTTCTGAACCTTGTGTCACAAATGTTTTTGAAGCAACTTTCATTGATATTTTTGGCATCCATTACATTATATTATTTAACTAACCTGGTTTCAGAAGAAATAAGGTCACTGTGTGCATTTAAATCTTGTTGGGATAATTCCATGTTCTTTTAGGATGGAAGAACATTACCCCCTCTAGTGGATGAAGGCAAAACACATAGCCTTGATGGGTGGAAGAGACTGGGTTTTCTTAAACCGTCATCATCTAACAGGTTGATGGATTAATTTCCCTAGTTCATAACTTCATTTCAAGCATATTGTCTTGTAAAAGGTGTTATGTCAGACATATTTCTTATATTAAGATGTATAACGGTATTTGGAATCTAACACAGTGCAATAAAGGAAATGTAGTTCATTCCAGGCATCCTGTTTCATATTAAGAATAGGTTTAGAGGCTGCCATCTTAAAATGTTTACTTCTAATGAACAAAGCACCATAAAAACATGTTTTTTTCTAATCAGAGAAAAGAAAAAAAATAGCATAAATGAAGCTCACTTTTTTTTTAACCTAGAAGTTTTAATCACAGGTATACCTAAAGTATATGTATTTTTTTCTATTCAGTTGAATGAACCAGCCTTTTGACTCTAGCATCTTTATTTATATAGAAAGTTGTTTGGTACTTATTATTTAAAATTTTCTTTTTAAAAATATTTATTTGTTTTTAAGTAACCTCTACGCTAACATGGGGCTTGAATTCACAACCCTAAGATCAAGAGCCACAGGCTCTAGCAACAGAGCCAGCCAGCACCCCTCATTTAAAATTTTCTACTAAAAAACATGATTGTCTTTAAAATTGAGTAGCATATAATACATATACTACACACACACAAATTTGGGAGCTGGTTTATTTTCTGGAATTCATCTATTAGCAAATGGTCCATTAAGTTCTGCTCAAATATGAAGACTTAAGGCCATTCAATCTGCTTTGATAGTTGATTTTAACATCAGGTAAATAGAATAAACAAATCCCTGCTCAAGTATAAACTAGTTTTACTTTCTCTATTTAAATCATCAAAGCCAGATTTCAAAGCCAGCATCTGTGAATTTCTTGTTCATTATATTTATCACTAGTAAAGTGAAGTTATCCTTAGTTGCCTCATCCCTAATAGATCTTTTAAAAATATGCAGCAAATGGCTTTGAATTACTCTTAATATTTTCCCCTTTACTAGGTCATATTTGATTGCTTCTTTAAATATATTTTGAAATATTTGCAAATTTTATTTCTACTTGAGGCAGCCTACATAAGTGAGGCTTATCTCTTTTCCTTGGTAACTCCTCCATAGTCTCTTTATTGTCAGGTATGTGGCTGCCAAATAGGCAAAAATAGAGAAAAGAAGGTTGTAAGCTCCTCTGATGGAAAGGTAAAATCCTCCATCAACTATCACCATAAGATATATATCAAAATAAATCTGAAAATATTTACAAAGCAATTACTAACTCTAGCAACTATCATGAGAGATTATAAAGAAATACATAAAGTCATTTTTACTTTAAAATACTTAAGGGGCGCCTGGGTGGCTCAGTCGTTAAGCGTCTGCCTTCGGCTCAGGTCATGATCTCAGGGTCCTGGGATCGAGCCCCGCATCGGGCTCCCTGCTTCGCGGGAAGCCTGCCTCTCCCTCTCCCACTCCCCCTGCTTGTGTTCCCTCTCTCGCTATCTCTCTCTCTCTGTCAAATAAATAAAATTTTTTAAAAAAGTATAAAATACTTAAAATGTAGTTGGAGAAAATTTTAAAATTGCATAAAATAGAAGATTTAATAGCAGGTCACAAATAGATTTTTAAAAACCTCATATTTTTATAGTTGTTTCTCAGCTTGCAAAGTATTTATATACAAATTATTGCCTCATTTTCCTATCTGCAAAATAAAAATAAGACCTACCTATATCACATAATTATTGGAAAATTTTAATAAGATACCTTGTTACCTTGGGGCGCCTGTGTGGCTCAGTCAGTTGAGTGTCCAACTCTTGGTTTTGGCTCAGGTCATGATCTCCGGGTCCTGAGATAGAGCCCTGCTTCCAGCTCTGCGCTCAGCAGGGAGTCTGCTTGTCTTTCCCTCCTTCTGTCCCTCCCCCCGCCCCAATGTTTTCTCTCTCCAAAATAAATAAATAAATCTAAAAAAAAAAGATAACACATTACCTTATTAAAGCTAGCAAAGGGGGCACCTGGGTGGCTCAGTTGGTTAAGCATCAGCCTTTAGCTCAGGTCATCATCCCAGAGTCCTGGCATGGAGCCCACATGGGGCTCCCTGCTCAGGGGGGAGCCTGCTTTTCCCTCTCCCTCTGCCACTTGTCCTGCTTGTGCTCTCTCTTGCACATGCTCTCTCTCAAATAAATAAATAAATTCTTAAAAAAAAACACCTAGGGCACCTGAGTGGCTCAGTTGGTTAAGCGACTGCCTTCGGCTCAGGTCATGATCCTGGAGTCCCAGGATCGAGTCCCGCATCGGGCTCCCTGCTCGGCAGGGAGTCTGCTTCTCCCTCTGACCCTCCTCCCTCTCATGCTCTCTGTCTCTCATTCTCTCTCTCTCAAATAAAAAAAAAAAAAAATCTTAAAAAAAAAAAAAAACACCTAGCAAAGTGTTTGGTACATAACAAGGAGTCAATAAATATTAGTTCCCTTGATCCTCATGAAAACTCTATAAGATTGGGAGTTTGTATGTTATACAACTTCATTTTCCAGTTGAAAATCAGACTCATACAAGTTCCAAGAATGGTCAGAAGCAGCACAAAGCTCAAATCTATAGTTTTCTCTCTTTCTCTCTCTTTCTGTCTCTGTCTGTGTGTGGATAAAACCATTATGAGTAAATATATAGAAGTGGAAAAATGAAGAGGGTTAAGGAATGGTGAGTAAACCTCTGGATTGAAATAGAAGCCCTAAGATGTGTGGTTACACGTAGGATGGTTGAGGACAAATTTAATATGAAGCTAAGGAGTTTAGATTTAATCTGAAGCTCAGCAGGGTTAAAGGTTTGCTGTAGCATGAATTGTAATTGAGGTAAAAGGGCCCGAAGCTAAATTTTAGAAGTCTTTACATTGCACCAAAGGCAGGAACGATAGTATCAAAATAATGTTAATAATACAGTTTTCAGGATAGGTACAAGGGAAGGAAATGCTGAAGACAGAGAGATCAGTTAAGTTGTTGATACATTAGCTGAGATTGAGGTGGAACCTAGGGAAAAAGGAAGGAATTGTAAAAGAATGAAAAGAATATGGCCAAAAAACCAAAAGGGGAGTTGAGAAAGAAGATTGGAATGTATAGTCAAAGGTGATTTTGTGGTTTCTTATGTCTGTTAACATTTACAAAAATAGGGGAGCCGGCTTGATCAGGAAGATGAAGTTTTCAATTTTAGATCTGCTGAACATATGCGTCTTAATATGTTGAGCAGTTTCTTTGGGAGAGTAATTGGATCCTGCCACTAAAGCATTCAGCGTGTAGCATTTTTTAAATGCTAAGGAAAACTTATTCTCAACCAATGAAATCATGGACTCTAGGGAATCCTGTGTTTCTGAAGTCAACTTCCCTTTTTCAAGGCAGCTTTTACACGCTTCATCAGTTGTGGTTGGGGCTGGACACCTGTGGGCACCATCAGTGCCAGCATTGGGCAAAAGCGTGAAGTAGCAGAGTCAGATTTGGTGGATCTCTTTTCCTTTTTCTGTGACTCTTTCCTGCCTTTGGATCCTATCACCACCTCGGTGTTCTGTTGCCAACTGGGGGTGAGCTCCTCAAGGGCTACTCAAGATTTCCATCACCTAGAAGAGTGCTTGGCATGCAGAAGGTACTTGATAAATTTCAGTCGTAGGAATCAGTGAGATAAGTGAAAGAATGAAAAATATTGATGAATGAATAAAATACCTGATAAATTCATTCATTCTAAGATTTTGGGTATTTAATTTGGGCATCCCTCCCTAAATTATCTCCGCTGAAAAACAGCCATATGAAAAAGTATTCTGTACCCCAATAGAAGGAATTATTACTGATAGACTTCAGACAACAGTGGAGACTGAATTTTGAGAGCCTCCATTTAACAACTTTAAACGATATGATAAAGACAATCACCCACACATAAGATTGGCTCCTTTTGACAGTAGTCCTCATTTTGGTTGTCACCCGCTATTTAACAGCTATCGGTGAAAAGAAATTTTATTACAAGAAAAGAAAATTCTGTATAGTGGGTAGTATTAATTCAGTATCACTATCTGGGCCTAAAATATAGCTTTACTCTCTACAGCTCTGCTTACAGGCAACCTGAACATGTTAGTTTTGTCTTGTGTCTACACAGCATGCCAGGAGGCTCTGTTGCCAAGTTGCATAGCCAGGGACCGTCAATATGATTTAATTTGGACTTCAGTTGCTTCAGTTAGTCATTCAGGACAGAGCCTTGACTAAAACTGGAACAAATTTCAAGTGCTGCTGGTTGTAGTGTACATAGAAATAAATTATAATGTTCATGGTCACTGATTTTTACTGCTTTCATTTAAACATTGTAGTAATGTTTCTTATAATCAGCGGTGGATAGATGCATAATAAATATTTGGAAACATAGTCCTAGTGGATAACCAGAGATTCCTTGTCTCAGAGTCCTTCTAATTTTGAATTTGTGTCTAGAAGTTGTGGGAGAATGACTTACCTACCAGCTCTTTTCAACAATGACTTTTCTCAGAGCTTTTGGTACTTCTGCTTGTGGCCAACAACAGGAAACACTGTCAAGAGAATGGAAAGAGCTTTAACTAAGTGTTCTGATTCACCATAGAATGTGAGTGTAATTTTCCTGTTAGTTATGTCAGATTTTAATGGCATTCCTGGGGGACTGTCTAGTTGTTATTATTTATATTATTAAGTTCATGTATTTACAAAAATCTATGCATGTGATATTAGTATCCAAATATGGATGAGTTTAGATTTTCTGTTAAGAAAAAGGAGTACAAAAGTATGAATGATAAACTAGCATGTGGGCCTTATAAGTCACAAAGTTGTATATAGCACTACATTTATTTATTTGTATTTTAAATGTGTTTAATTAGAACGGCATAAATTACAATTTCTGTATCTTCAAGTATAACAAGATATTAATTAATGAAATCATAACCAGAAATATCAGAATACAATTTCTCAATGTTTTAGATACCTTTAAAAAATGTACCATTTTACTTAATCTATGCAGTTTTTAGATCTGAGGTTTTATTATAATTCTTCCTATGACAAATCTTGCAGAAGTAATTGAAGTTCATGTGACTTGCTAAAGATGGTTTGGTGAATTTCAGAAAATATGTAAATAAATTAATAGAACTTGAAGTTCATTTAAGTTAGTGATCTTGTTTTACAAGGATATTAAGGCCTAGAGTTTGTGTACCCCACAGATATATGTATTAAAGACTCCAAAAACACTATATGGACTTACCTATTTAAAAGTAGTTCTAAACTATTATTCAAGTGTTAATTTTTTAAAAAGATTTTATTTATTTATTTATTTGAGAGAGAGTGAGAGAGCACTGGGGGAGGGGCAGAGGGAGAGGGACAAGTAGATTCTGCACTGAGTGCAGAGTCCGACATGGAGCTTGATCCCACTACCCTGAGATCATGACCTGAGTGGAAATGGAGTCACACACTTAACCAACTGAGCCACCCAGGCGCCTCTCAAGTGTTTGTTTGTTTTTAACATAGTAAGCTATGTGGCTTTTTATGGAATCGAATATTCAATAGAACATATTTAATCTCATTTAACATGGGGCTCATCTAATAAAAAGTTCAGTGTTTAAGTGCTATTCCTAATGACATCTATGAGAGGTCCTTAGTGTCAACATCCCAATGCTCAATCTCACTGTGTTACAGAAACAGTAGGAGGCATTTTTTAATGTTGAAATCTACAGAGCAGGCCCCTTACAACATTAAAAATAAGGTACATAAGTAAGAAAAAAAGTATATTTAAAGAGAAAATTCAGTTACTTGCATTATACATTTATGTTTTAAAAAAAGAGCCTGATTTACTGATAAGTACGACAAATAAAAATGCTTTTCAGCTTTTATGGCTAGTTAAGTGTGAGAAACATAATGTGTGCGTGTGTGTATAGAGAGAGAGAGAGAGAGAAAGAGAGAGGGAAATTAAAAATGTTAAAATCGTAAAGGAAATAAAAATATAAAGAAAATTAGGGAATTCAATAACTTGGGGAAGGACCCACAGAAAAGATTTAAAAAAATGACCAACCCACATAACAAACATTCAGGGAATAATATTTTCCTTGTATTGTTTAAGACATTGCTAAACAGACTTAAAAACCATACTGCAATTTTATAACCTTGGGCATAAACAGGTAGATTGCACCTAAGTATTTTTCCACCCAGATGAACTAGCTCTGAAAGAACTGGAGGCTGGAAGGAGCTAATAGAACTGAACTCTCCAATTCCTCTTACCATAAATTAATTAATTAACTAATTAATTTATTAACTAACTAATTAATTTTTTAAATGATGATCTAAACTTTGACCTTGACGTTGGAAATTAAGCTCATACAAACCTGGAAATGTTCATCTCTCTCAGCCTCAGGTGCAAGCAGAGAGAGCTCACCCTGTGTATGCCTCCTTCCTAGTGCTATTTGTAGCAGAATAATTTTGCATTGGTTCCTCAAACCCTTACTTTTCCCCTCTCCGGCCACTGTACATATTAGGTCACTTTTTATCCAGGGTCAAAGCATAAGCAGGACTGCTAGACATTAACACATATCATTGCTGTGATATTTTTGTTCAAAAATGTGATGGTGACATTGAAGTTAATCTCAAAATCAGCTGTGAAAAAACTGTCTAGAAAAGGTTGAAACATTGACATTTCTTTAAAAAAATCTAGTAGGACTGTGCCTTCAATAGTCTTTAGAATTATTTTAATTAGCTTTGCCTACTTCCTAATTTGCTAGCTGCCTATTTCTTATTTTATTTTAGCAGTTATTTTTAACCTAGAATCTATTTAAAGCATTAAGATAGGCAAAGAGTGGAAAATCATTACCGGAACGTTTGGTTGTTAAAAAAAAAAAAAAGAGAGAGAGAGAGAAGATTTGCATCACTTTTTTTTTTTTTTTTTCGTTTTCTCTTTTTCCTTCAAGGGATAGCACTAACAACTTTTCAGAAATTCTAATAATGTTCCTGGTCAATTCAGGGTTGATAGGGTGTGGTAACCATTTCATGGATTAAGCAAGAGATCTCACATGTTTCCTCCATGGGACTTCATGCCCATTTTAAAAACAGAGTAGAAAAAAACCTCTTAAGTGAGAGTAGTATTGAGAATTCAATTTCCCATCTCTAAAAGTTATAACTGAAAAGATATCATGACTAAACCACAGTCATGCACTTTGAACGTGGCTGCTTTGCCAATTCCTTTTCCAAATGACAATCTAGTGTTTTCTATCCTTCTGCTCAATGGTTTCAGTGAGTGTTGGTGTTTTCATATGTACTCTAAGGGGACTAATTTATTATACTTAACGCTTTAATTTTTAAAATTTCTAGGTAATAATTTTTCAACCATTGATACAATCTAAATTCATAACCATTCATTATCATATGTGGGAGATTATATTATTCTTCCCACCTATAGCTCCCACGTAATGTAAGTCCATGTTCTTTGCCTTGTAACTTCCCATGCCTTTCTAGGCAGCATGTACTATCCTGTCACATTGTTGGGCTGGCTAACTGATTGGCTTTGGCCAATGGGATGTGAATGGACATGATGTATGACACTTCTGAGCAGAAACTATAAACATATTTAGATGATTTAATTTGGCCTCTTATATTCCTGTCTCTACCATTAATAACAGCATTTCTGGACAAAGACAGCCCCTGTAGCTTTGGTTCTTTAGTCTGGGATTTGAGGATATATAGAACAGACCTGAACAGACCTGGGAAGGGTCTAGCAGAGCCACAGCCAACTGACAGACCCGTGAACCAAAAATAAATGTTCAGTGTTGAAGGCCACTGAAATTTGAGGGATGTTTGTTATCATAGCAAAAATGCTTAATAGACCATACCATAAAACAAAACAAAACAAAAACTAGTGAGTCAAATTTATTTGTTGAAAAATGGAGGGGCACCTGGGTGGCTCAGTTTGTTAAGCATCTGCCTTCAGCTCAGGTCATGATCCCAGGGTCCTGGGATCGAGCCCCATGTCAGGCTCTCTGTTCAGTGGGGTGCCTGCTTCTCCCTCTCCCTCTGCCTGCAGCTCCCCCTGATTGTGCTCCCTCTGTCAAATAAATAAAATCTTTAAAAAAAAAAAAAAAGAAAAGAAAGAAAGAAAGAATGGAGAAAGGTAGCACCGCAACTTAGGGTAGAGATAAGAGTATGACACAGCTAGACAAAGCTTTGGGTTAAGTTTCAATGGTGTGTTCTGCTACTTACTCACTTTGAACATTGACTACTATTTATTAGTTTTCTACTGCCACTTAAAAATTACCCCCAAACTTAGCAGTTTAAAATAATAAACATTTATAATGTCATCGTTTCTGTGGATCAAGAATCCAAGTGTGCCTTAGCTGGGTAGCTCTGGCTCAAAGTCTGTCATGAGGTTGCAGTCAAGCTGTCATCTGGAGTTGTGGTCTCAGCCATAGGCTAGACTGGGGGTAAAGGTGGAGGATCTATTTCCAAATTCACATGGTTGTTGGCAGGCCTTGGTACCCTGTCACATGAATTTCCTCATGGGGTTGCTTTAACTACATGGCAGCTATTTTCCTTCAGGGCAAATGATTCAAAGGAAAGCAAGGCAGAGCACTCAAGATGGAAGGTGTGGTCTTTTATAATCTAATCTGCAAAGTGACAATCCATTAGTTCTGTCATATTCTGTTCATTAAAAGCCAGTCAGTAGGTCCAGTCTATTCACAAGGGGAGGGGAATATACAGGATGTAAATACCAGGAGGCAGGGATTGTCAAGAGCCACCTTAGAGGCTGCACAACAATCAACAGCACTGGATCTCTCTGAGCTTCAATTTCCAAACCTGTAAAATGGGTATAATTGTACCTACCCTGCTTACCTTGCAAAACTCTTGAAAGGTCAAATGAGCAAAAATATGTAAAAGTGCTTTGTAAACTGTATAGTATTATACAAATGTAAGATGTTTTTGTTTGTCTGGGTCTTACAAGAGGCAGAAACCCAGATGGGATTAAAGGTGCAAGGATTTTATTAGGGGAAACATCTGTAAAAAGAAATGAGGAGGAAGGTGGGGGGGGGTGTTAGATCATAACTGATGGTTAGCGAAGAAAAGAAGGAAAAAGTGTTGTGTAGAAGCTTACTATGACATCTAAGGAAAGTTAGGCAAGGCTTTTTCAAACCAAAGCAGCCTGTCAAAGAATCCCACATCTCCCAGGACATGGTCTGCTTTGGTATCCCTACTGTACTCAGTCACTGGCTATGAGCAGCCCAGGGGAGGTTGAGCCTTGGTGCAAACATGGTGATGGCTTCATTCTCATCAATAAGGGTAACTGGGTTCCATTCTTGTTTTCTTTGTTTGAATTCTATCTTGGTGCCATTTCTAGTATTTCTACTTCTAGAACGGGGGCCATCTGAAATGGCTGCCAGGGGCCCTACTGACAATTTCTTATCTGAATTTCCTCCCAATGCTCTTTCTCGATCTGTTGGAACCCCCTCAACCCAGGCTGAACCTCTTTGAGTCTGACTGCTGGACTGTACCACCACCTGTTAAATATCACCACACCCTCTGGACACCATGCTCTACCCATGGGACTAAACTTCCTCTTTGCACCTGTATTTGGGCCTGCTCTTCCAGGGATCATCTCCATGCTAAGAGGTGGTTTTCATTCTAGTTCTGGATCCCTCTCAGGCTATTCCATTGGCCTATGGTTGTTAATAATAGTTGGAGCCAGATTTCTTGGGTTTTAATTCTTACTCTGCCACTTTCCTCTTAAGTTGTATGACATCTGGTAAGTCACTTAAACTGTGTCATTATAAAATGGGGATGATAACAGTACTTATCTTACAAAGTTTTTTTTTTGCTTTGTTTTGTTTTGTAAAGTGCTAAGACAATGCTGGATACATAGAAAGTATTCTGTAAATGTTAGCTATTATTATTTATTACTTCAAAGACTATCCAATGTACAAACTAAAATACCCTATGCCATTTAGAGCCCTGCTGTGATCTGTATTTGTGTCAATTCCATTTTGTATTAGGATAAGGAAATAAATAATTATGGGAAGAGAGAGGGATGAGAAGAGAGAAGAGAGAGAAAGAGAACATTTTTATGTGCTTTGATATAACTTTTGAAAGCCTTCTTAGTTCACTCCTAGGCTGTTTGTGCTTACCTACTAAATCTATATTGGGCTCTAAGCCTCAGTTGGTTTAACTCCTCATGTACTTTTTCAACTCTTGTTGGTTGACTTCATTGGTTAACTGCTTCATATGGTGTGGTCCTGGGTCTTGCTACCAGGCTTTGCCTCCTAATAATCAAGTTCCTATTACCAGGTTCCGGATCTGAACTCAGCTTCAATCCTAGTCAGAGAGATTGGGGAGGCAGGGATTAGGGCACAGCCAGCACTCATTTTTAGCTGTTTTTGTGCAATTTGGTCCCTTCTTCCTCTGCTTTCACGATAGGTTTGTTTTCTTAATTGCTTTGTTACTGTCTGAAATAGGGCCATCAATAAAGAAAAACAGTGTAGAATTTGTTCTAGAAAAGATGGAGGTGCTTTTGCTTGTCCAATTTGTTACCCTTCCTCCTTTTCTCCCTCCCTTCCTTTCTTTTTTCCTTTTTTTTTTTTTTTTTATTATACCTGTTCCCAAAGGCACTAATTCAGTATTGTATTTAAGTTTCAAGAACAGTGAATGGAGAGGTTTAATTAAAAACACTTTCAGAAACAGCCTTGTAGCTTAACATACAACTTCCATTGCCTCCTTCTCCTGCACAGTTGTGCTCCCCCCTCTGCTCCTTTTATCACTTCATTATCTCAAGCCAAATGTTGATTTGGTCAATTTCCTGTTTGAGTGTAAGCCAATCCCTTGAAGTTATTTCAGTATTGTGGTTCTTAAAACACAAGGTTTCCCTGTTATATTTCCACCATTTTAACACTTCATCTATTGTTTCTTTTTTTCTTAATGACAACCACCAATGGATATTTTCAAGTCTACCACTTAATAACTCCATGTGTTTTTGATACCCTAAACTCCACTGGTCTGTGTTGATAGTGACTAATCCTCAGAACTGTTAAAACAGTCTTGTGCAAATAGAGGTACATCAGAGGAATTTTTTATATGAAAACTTTATTTAGGGAGCCACTTTCTTTCCTGTATTTGCTTATTCAAACTTTCCATTTCAGCTTGTTTTGAAATACTGTCAAACTACATAAATCAGAGTTTCCTTTTTCATTTTTATTAATATAGCCTGATAAAATGGAACTAAAATTCTTGATTAAACGTTCTTCAAACTGGTTATCCTTGATATAAAAACACCTAAACCTTTTGTCAATTTCAGAGCTATAAAGAAAGGTCACTTTGTTGACTCTCCTTACTTTATGTCTGGGGACAACTAAAGGTCATAGAGGTTATACAATTTGTCCAAGACCGTCCATTTAGTTAGTTGAGAAAATGATATTTTCCTTCCGGTATGTGAACTCCCTCAAGTTAAAGCATGACAATGTCTTTACTGGTCTTTTTAATTCCTTTATTTACTGGTTTTGTTTTCAAATTCAGTAACTGTAAGTTAGTTTTTATTTATTTTTTATTTTTTTAAAAGATTTTATTTATTTATTTGACAGAGAGAGACAGCAAGAGAGGGAACACAAGCAGGGGCTGTAGGAAAGGGAGAAGCAGGCTCCCCGCTGAGCAGGGAGCCCGACATGGGGCTCGATCCCAGGACCCTGGCATCATGACCTGAGCCGAAAGCAGATGCTTAACGACTGAGCCACTCAGGCACCCCTGTAAGTCAGTTTTTAAAATCAGATTTATTTAAATATAATTTCCTATGCTGTAAAGTTAATGAATTTTAAGTGTATACTTTGGTAAGTTTTGACCAATTAATACAGTCATATAACCACCACCATAACTGAAATATAGAACATTTTCATTACTCCTCAAAGTCCCATCATGCCTCTTGCTCTAATGGCCTGGCTTATGGTGGTACCTTTTTTCTTTCTTTTTTTTTTTCCTTTCACTATAGTTTTGCCTTTTCTGGAATTTCATAGAAATGGTATTTTATAGCATGCAGTTTTATGTGCCTGGCTTTTTTCACCCATGTTGTATATATATATCTGTAGTTTGTTCCTTTTGTTACTAAATAATATCCCATTATATAAATATACTATAATTTGTTTATCTATTCACCAGCTGATGAACCTGGTTGTTTCCAGTTTCTGGTCACTATGAATAAAGCTAGTATAAATAGTCATATTCAAGTTTTTGGGCAATCATATGTTTTCAATTCTCTTCAGTAAAAACTTAGATATGGGATTACTGGTTTGTACATTAAATGCATACTTAGCTTTATAAGCAACTGCCTCCTGATAGTACCATTTTACATTCCCACCAACTGTGTATGAAAGTTCCAGTTGCTCTGCATTCTGCCAACACTTAATATGGTCAGTCATTGTCAGTTTAATCATTTTAATTGGTGTGCAGTGGTATCCAGTGTGGTTTTAACTTCCCTAATAAATAATAATATTGAGCGTCTTTTCATGTGCCTCTTTTTCATCGGCATATTTTCCTTAGGGGGAATGCTTATGTAAATCTATTGCTTATTTAAAAAAATAGGTTGTTTATTTTCTTATTAAGATTAAAATTATAGGGGCGCCTGGGTGGCTCAGTTGGTTAAGCGACTGCCTTCGGCTCAGGTCATGATCCTGGAGTCCCGGGATCCAGTCCCACATCGGGCTCCCCGCTCAGCGGGGGGTCTGCTTCTCCCACTGACCCTCTTCCCTCTCGTGCTCTCTGTTTCTCATTCTCTCTCTCAAATAAATAAATAAAATCTTTAAAAAAAAAGATTAAAATTATAATAGCACTGTAGGTGACAGATGGTGAGCTGTGGTGAGCACAGCATAATGTATAGACTTGTCAAATCACTATGTTGTACACCTGAAACTAATGTAACACTGTGTGTCAACAATACTTCAATTTAAAAAGAAAGAATTCTTTGTGTACTCTGCACATTAGTTCTTCATTGGATATATAATTTTTTAAAAAATTTTCTCCCAGATGAACCATGAGAAACTATGGACTCTGAGAAACAAACTGAGGGTTCTAGAGGGGAGAGGGATAGGAAGATGCGTTAGCCTTGTGATGGGTATTAAAGAGGGCACGTACTGCACGGAGCACTGGGTGTTACACGCAAACAACGAATCATGAAACACTACATCAAAAACTAATGATGTAATGTATGGTGATTAACATAACATAATAATAAAAAAATTAAAAAAAAATTTTCTCCCAGTCTGCAACTTGACCTTTCAGTTATTTAACAATATCTTTCAAAGAACAAAAGATTTTAATTGATGAAATCCAATTTATCAGATTTTCCTTTATGGTTTATGATTATTGTGTCCCTCCTAAGACATCTTACCTAACTTAAGATCTGAAAAACTCTCTCCTATGTTTGTAGTTTTAGATTTTGCCTCTATGTTTATGATCCGCTTTGAATTAACGTTTGTATGTGGTTTAGAGTCCATTTTGAATCTTCAGTCTTTTCATCACAGCACTGCCCTCTGCTGATTCTGTCACTTGCTTCATCCGCTGCTTAGACCAGTCTCTTCTGATGACGCCACTTCCAGGTCTCCAGATACTTCATACCTAGATTCCTGAAGTCTGCCTTTAGGTAGTTTCTTCAAGTGATCAAATTATCCCTCTTCAAAAAGTTTATCCCTCTCACAAAACTTTCCTCTACACATAAGTGTTTGTTCCCTTATACCTGCTTGTTACAGAGCTTAGGGAAGTAGGAAGTAGCCATAGCCAATTCCATTTAGTGGAAATACAAGAAGACGCCAGTTTAAAAAAAATTATAGGATAAAGGTCTTTTTAATTAAACTTGACTAGAACTCAAAGAATATTTAAAATATGTCCTTCTTCTTCCACTCAGGGAAAATGCTATTATCTCAAATAGAAGATACAAATAGAGGATGCATTGACTTGTCTCATTTATGAAAGCTAAATCTTTGGGGATCCCATTCAGCCTTGTCCCCTTCTTCTTGTTCAACATCCATAGCCTATCAGTGAGGGTCTAAACTGGAAGAAGTGGGAGTACTCCTTATAGAGACGTAGAGGTTTTTCAATATACAGCTAAATCCTTCTTACCACAAGTAGGAAGGGAGACAGGGCACCTCGACCCCCAAATGGTGAGAAGGGAATCTACATCCAAGCACACATTCCTGTGCTCTTAAAAGACATCTAGTTTTATAACATGCATTTTGACTTAAGGAGGAGTTCATGAAACCATACTGGATGCCCCATAGTTGGCCACCTTTTGGAGAAAGTGGTTCTAACTTTACTCCTCTCCCAACTTTGGTTGCTATTGCTCAAGCAGTTTCTCTTGGAGAAGTGGAGATAGCCATGGCCATCACCACAGTGGATTTTAGTGACAGAGGAAGCCAACGCATAAAAGCTGGCAGGAAGCAACTCATCCACCTGACAGGTGCTTAACTACCACTTACCCATGGAGTGCCCCCATGTCTAGTGTCACCAAAACAAATGTTGACTTTCAGAAATGTAAGATGGGTGGCTCACTCAGTTCAAGGCTGTTTTCTGAAGCCAATTAGGATAATTTCATGATTTCTTTTCAAATCTACCACACCTCTCAGAACCAGGAGAGCTGTGATAGAAGCAGTTGTTCTGTGTACCTTGAAAAGACTTTCCATCACTGGATTCTCAAGTCTTAAGGTTCTCTGCTTGGACAGAATACTATTGTAAAGCAGGTTTGAGGATTACATTTAAACAAATAAAAAAAAAAAAACCTGATTCAATCTGCAGAACTATATATCTACATATATCTTTACAGAAACACTATTACATTAAGTGAACATACCTGGAGCAGCCTCAAAAGATCTTGTTTCCTTTTAATAGAGACATTTGAACACAGGGATCGTGTTCTCTTATGTTCTTCTCTGACCATTATTTCCAAGCACTTTGAAAGTATTCAATAAATATTACTAATCTCCCCCGAGGTACACAGATCATAAACACAGACTGTTACTCAACCTGGAGAAAATGAAGAATAAATATTCCTAAAGCTTTGATATTCATACATTGTTATTTTTTTGTCTCTGCAGCAGAATTACTTACACAGGTAATTCTATGTAAAATTAGTAGATACTCCTACAACATGACACTAATACCAATTTCCTTCCAGTGAAACTGAGCACCAGCCTCTGCAGCTGAGTGCAGAGGTAATTCTTGCCATTTGAGTGACTGGGACTTAATATTTTTATACTAATTGACCATTAGTTAATATAATTATTTAAGGCAAAATTATATTTCTTCTTTCACATTAGTTTTATTGTGGGCAAAGGGAAAAAGAGCATTATTCTAAACTTTTCAGCACTTTGTCTTTTAAAATAAAGAGTAAAACCATGTCAGAGTGAAATTTTGTGACTCAGTGAAAATAATACAGACATCAGATGTGCGTGTTTGTGTGTGTGTGTATAAAATCGCCACCAAAAAAAAAAAAAAAGAACAAGATCAATCAGTACATTAATATATTTGAATGCTGAAATTCAGCGGAGCATGGATTAATTAAATTGACATAGCACCTCTAAATTTGTTAGTATGATTGTCCTAAGTTAGGCTGCAAAAAGACAGAGGGATTAATTAAGCCTTATATTGGATAAGACTAGAGCACAAATTAAAAGGCTCCTAACTGTAAATCCATAAGGAGCACTTACTAGTTGAAGGTCACGCTGCTGGTCACACGGCTCGATTACTCACTTTAAACTGTAAACTAACTAGACTATGGTGAGTCAGGCTTGTTTCCTTTCTCTTCTCTTCTGGCCTCCCCGGGGGGCTTCTCAATTCAAAGAAACTCCGAGAGAAACAGGCCACTTACTGTGAATAATCCGAAACAATCTATAAATTCAAAAGCAGTTGAAATTCCTAGAAGAGATTGAATGTTATAAGAATAAACGGGTTAGTATTTTAAAAGACAGAACTGCCCTTGTTTAATATCAAGGGAGTGTTAGCGGGACACAGGTTTTACAGTAACTTTCATTATTTATGTAGTGGGCTGTATCACTCTACACTTCGGGAAATGGAGTCCATGCACTCAGTCCAAGCAAATTTTAAAACAGAGGGGTTCTTTTTCTTTCCTTTCTTTCTTTTTTGAGCATAACAATAGCAGCATCTGTAATTAGTAGTTATCTACTTCTGCCACAATAAGACCAAGTACATAGAACTCTTAGAAACATTTAGACAAATTCAATCTATTGCTCTAAGAGGGAAAGATTACGTGTATTCAGACAAATTCAAAAGCAGAAACTTTGTAATTTATCAGAAATGAGAATGTTATTTATGATGGCTACAGGGAAAGAAAAAGGAATTGTTTTTACGCTAGACTAGTCTATACTTGATTCCAAATATATCATTTTTTTTTAAATGGAGATAACACCTTTCTGACCCTCAAATCTGTTTCCAATAGTAAAGAAAGACAATCGTATGTTTGGAACATCTTTCAAAGGACTTTGATTTCCAAGGACACCATCAAAGTTTTACCTTCACAAGGATTAACATCTTCGAATATTCATCATCACAGGAAGAGAGAAAGGAGGGGGAAATGCCAAATTCTGTATTTATTTTTAAATTTGTACAATGTAAGTACTATTCCTCAAGGCAACACATGGAAATGAGAAAAAGTTACGTACAAGTGGAGGCCTAGTCAGGGAAATATGTCAAATTTAATTCATTTCACTTCTAATATATATTGAGATTTTACTTTGTATAATTTATCATTAGTGGAAAGGCAAGCGAAATATAATTCCTACTCTAATAGAGCTTATAGTATCACTAGAAGTATATAAATTTTAAAGATAAATCAAAATGTTAATTTTATAGGAATAGGTACAAGGCATTTAATAATATAAAGGAGATTTCCCATTTAACTGGAAGTATCAGAAAATGCTTTAAGAACTGATAATTAATTTAAAGGATACATATTTCCGACGTGCAAATGTAACAGAAGGAGCATGGGCAAGAGGAGAACAAGACCAATGGGAAAAATTCTGTTCAGAAACAGGGTTGGGTCCAATTTGGTTGCCAGAAGGATAAAAAGGAGAGAAAAAAACACATGGGCAAAAATTTGTAAAAGTAGTTTGAGACAAATCTAGTTTTGAAGGTCATTCCACAGAGTTTGTCTTAACTTGGTAGGTCATCAGGAGATCGTGTTTTGAGCAACTGCACAAAGAACCATTGTCTGTTAATGAAATTTAGTTGAATTGAGGATTTGCCATAGTGCATAGCATGAATATCTATTTTTAAGGTAGAGATTAACCAGGATTGCTATTAAAAGAAAGAGAAATAGATTTAATATGTACAAATCAGGAAGGGTTATAACAAGTGTTATCTAACAAACATAATGTTAGCAATTAGTCTTTATTTATTTTTTTAAAAAGATTTTATTTATTTATTTATTTATTTGAGAGAGAGAGAGAGAAACAGCATGAGAGGGGATAGGGTCAGAGGGAGAAGCAGGCTCCCTGCTGAGCCGGGAGCCCGATGTGGGACTCGATCCCAGGACTCCGGGATCATGACCTGAGCCGAAGGCAGTCGCTACACCAACTGAGCCACCCAGGTGCCCAGCAATTAGTCTTTAATGTATTGGAGATAAATAAATGAAACTCTGTATAGCAGGTTAATTTATCTAGTGATGTAGCCTTACTGTCTACAATTATTGTCTGGTAGCATAGCAGGGGCCCATGTTATGTAGAACTCCTCCATGGGAGTTACTGAAGCTATTCTACGGCTAGACAGATGCCTAGGGCCACTTCATCAAACATGTTAACATTCTTCTGCTTTAATAATCCTTGCTATGTGCAAAAGAATGGAGTGCTGTGGTCTCTGGTGAACACGTTCTGGGGAAAATCCTTATGCTGGGTACATATGCAAGTGGAATTTTCTCTTATTCAGGCAAGAATAGAACCTGTTAGACTTCCTAATTTTCATAAGAGATTAACTTTACTACTTGCTTATGTGATATCCAAAGGATTTGTTGCAGATCAGCAATGAAGGTATCATTACTCCAAGTTCTTGCTAAAGAGAATACCTTGGTTCTTTTACCCTGTGCCTGTCAAAGCCTTGGCAGAAGAAATTGTTTTTAGGGATACTGGCTTGGGGAATGATCTATCATTAGGAATTCCAAAAATTTCTGAGTTCAAATTACCAACAGAGACCATGTATTTAGGCCACATCACTTTTGCCCTCAACAGAATGACTTACATTCTGGGTTCATTCTTGGTGTTGTACATTCTACGGGTTTTGACTAATGTATAATGACATGTATCTACCATTATAGTATCATGCAGAATAATTTCACTAACTTAAAAATCTTCTTTGCTCTGCCTCTTTGTCCTTCCCTCCCTCTAACTCATGGCAACCTCTGATCTTTTTACTATCTCCACAGTTTTGCCTTTTCCAGAATGTTATATAGTTGGAATTTTACAGCATGTAGACTTTTCAGATTGGCTTCTTTCACTTAGTATTTGCATTTAAGCTTCCTCCATATCTTTTCATGGCTTGATAGCTCATTTCGGTGCATACCACAGTTTATTTATCCACTCACCTACTGAAGGGTATCTTGGTTGCTACCAAGTTTTGGTGATTATGAATAAAGATGTTATAAACAACTGCATTCTGGTTTTGTGTGAATAAAAATTTTCAATTCTACTGGGCAAATACCAAGGAACATGACTGCTGGATCACATAAGAGCATGCTTAGTTTTGTGAAAAACTGCCAAACTGTCTTCCAAAGTGGCTGTACCTTTTGGCATTCACATCTGCAATGAATGAGAGTTTCCCTTGTTCCACATCCTCACCAGAATTGGGTCTTCTCAGGGTTCTGGATTTTGGCCATTCTAATGGATATGCAGTAGTATCTCATTGTTTTAATTTCCCTGATGACGTATGATGTGGAACATCTTTTCATATGCTTGTTTGCCATCTGTATATTTTCTTTGGTGAGATGTCTGTTAAGACCTTTGACCCTTTTTTGATTGGATTGTTAGTTTTCTTATTGTCGAATTTTAAGAGTTCTTTGTATGTTTTAGATAACAGTCCTTTATCAGATATGACTTTTGCAAATGTTTTTCTCCCAGTCTGTGGCTTGTCTTCTCATTCTCTTGACATTGTCTTTCACAGAGGACAAGTTTTTAATTTTAATGAAGTCCAGCTTCTCAGTTATTTCTCCCACAGATTGTGCCTTTGGTGTTGTATTTAAAAAGTCATTGCCATATCCAAATACAAATGGTTATCTAGATTTTTCCCTACATTATCTTCTAAGAGTTTTTGTAGTTCTGCATTTTACATTAGGTCTATGACCCATTCTGAGTTAATATTTGTGAAAGATGTAAGGTCTGTGGCTAGTTCAATTTTTGTATGTGGATAACCAGTGTTCCTGCAACATTAGTTGAAAATACTTTTTTTTTGTTCCATTGTATTATCTTTGCTCCTTTGTCAAATACCATTTGGTTATATGTATGGGAGTCTATTTCTGGACTCTCTATTCTCTTCCATTAGTCTAATTTTTTATTCTTTTTATTCTTTCACCAATCACACTGTTTTGATTACTGTAGCTGTGCACTAAATCTTGAAGTTGGGTAGTGATAGTCTTCTGACTTTGTTCTTTCCTTCAACACTGAGTTGGCTATTCTGGGTCTTTGCCTCTCCATTCACACTTCAGAATCAGTTTGTCCTTAGCCTCAAAATAACTTGCTGGGATTTTAATTGGGATTGTGTTAAAGTGATAGATCAAGTTAGGGAAAACTGCTATCTTGACAATATTGAGTCTTCCTACCCATAAAAAAATCTCTCCATTTATTAAGTGCTTCACATAGAACTCACACTTCACACTCTTTACACACTTAAAACTTCAGAGCTTTGTAGTTTTCCTCAAATAGATCTGGTACATAGTCTGTCAGATTTATATGTAAGTCTTTTATTTTTCTTAGTGTTAATGTAAATGATACAGCATTTTAAATTTCAAATTCCACTTATTCATGCTGTTATATAAAAAAGCAACTGACTTTTGTATATTAACCTTGATGCTGCAAACTTGCCATATTTGTTTATTGGTTACAGGAGTTTTTGGTCAATTCTTCAGATTTTCTACATAGACAATCATGTCATCTGCAAACAAATGCAGTTTTATTTCTTCCTTCCCAATCTGTGTATCTTTAGTTATGTATATTCTACCTAAATGTATATTACATCTCTGTATATTATACCTAAATCTAGCTAGGGGCTGTGCACTAGGGCCTGCCATACTGTTTAAGATCTGAGAAGATTCTAGCAGCCCCCAAATGAAGAATTAGGAGGGCCAAGGTAAATCTGTATCCCTGTGCATTGGCAAGGAGCATGTCTTGGTAATTCTACATTTCTGAGAAATAATACATAGTGGGTGAGAGTGGGAGGAAAGCCAGTAAGGAGCTTGTATAGTAATTAATTCTTGAGGCATTGTTATAAATTCACTTAACCTATCACCTTCACAAGTTACCCTATTCTCTGTTTTTGTTGGGAAAAAAGCAAAATGATGGCACTATGATGGTCATTCATCACTTCATTAACTTCTGATGCAAGTTGCTATATCAGTAGAAATTATTTTTAGAAGATAAAATTTGGTGGTTAGCCAAAGGATGCCCCTTAATTTGGATTTACCCATTTGTATGATGCTTAACCTCTGATGAATATATCAGGAAGCACATTTCCCATAGCATGTATCCCAGAAGCACAGTTTCCTCCAGTATAACTGTCTATAAATCTGGCTGCATTAACTCAAAAAAGCACTCTGCTCACAGGTATCCAAAATGAGGTTCTATCATATATAAATAGTGAGCTAAATATTTAAAAGCCCATTATTCAAGTAATACCAATATTTCCCAACTAATTGGGTGCCCTTTTCTGCAT